GGAATAAAGGATAATAACAGAAAAGTGAAGGCCCATATCTAAGACAGTATTTGTTTCAACAAAGGTGAATACATTTAAATAGCGTACCAGGGAAACAATGTCTAAGCTTCATTGCAATTTCTTGAGAAATTGTGCTTAGGAAAAGTCTATTTTTTCATGGAGTAATAGTTGAAAACTGTGTGTGCGAGCGTATTTCGTTCATTCCGGGGATGTACCTTACAATGTATCAAAACATTCAGGCTTGCTTCAAATAAGATTTGTGAAAATTTACATACTCAATAAACAGTACCATTTGAATCATAAAGAGCTCGCAACAAAACAGCATGTTTCACATTCCTGATCCCTCCCTTATCAACCCATTCACCTGAAGAAAACACAGCCCTCTAAATGAGCAAGATCCCCATCTAGTGGTGACTCCTTGAAATGTCAGCAATATGGCTTCTGGAGCCCAGAAAATGCTCAAGGAAATGTAACTAACCTTGAATTCACACGAGTTCTAATTTACTTAAAAACAAAAGGCACATCATAGAATAATTTTTTTTAACTTTTTTTAAAAATTTATTTTTTATTTTCATTTTATGCGTGTGCGTGTATTGCCTGCATGTAGGTAAGTGCACCCGTGTCGTGCAGTGCCCACGGAGGTCAGAAGAAGCTGCCGGATCCCCTGGGACTGGAGTTACGGACAGTTGTTAGCTGCCATGTGGGTACCGGGATTCGAACCGGGGTCTTCTGCAAGAACAACCAGTGCTCTTAACCACTGAGCCATCTCTTCAGGGGGTTGGAGTACCTTTGTAAAGACACATAGTGTCAGGTGAAAGTCTAAGGCCCCTCGGTACTGCCAAACGCCAGCAAACCACCCAAGCACAATGGTTTGCTGTGCAAAACGCTGCATCAAGATAGACTTTGGAGGCTGGGGAGCTGGCTTAGCGGTTAAGAGCACGGACTTTGTTCTCAGTACCCACCTGGGGTATCCCATAACCTCCTGCGACTCCAGCTCCAGGGGATCTGACACCCTTTTCTGTACTCCTCGGGCACCTGCACGCACATGTACATACCCACACCCAGACACACACAAACACACATAACTAAAAAAAAAAAAAAAAAAAAAATTAAGACCTTGTATCCTTGCAGTGGTGGTGCACTGAGCAGGGGGCTGGCCCGGAAATTCAAGTCTGGCCTGGGCTACATAGCAAATACTCTGTCTTACCCCTTCCCCACCAAGAAACAAGACAAACCCAACCTGGCCCCTTCCAGATGTGACTTTCCCGGACCTCCCCTCCCAGTGTCTCAGTTTCTTCAGCTATACACAGAAGACACGGAGGAAGTCGGGAACTACCGTCTGTACTTTATTTGCCATCCACGCCCCACCCCCCATCTCATTCCTCCTCCCCACGCCCGGGGTCCAGCTCAGAAGACCTTCAACGAATGCAGCTGCACGTCACCGCCCACCTCCACCAGGTGCACGCGTGCCGGCGGCATCCGATGGCGGAAGAGGAGGTACTCCTGGTCCCCGACCACCGTCTGCAGAACCAGAGAGTTAGAGGACCAGAGTCAGGATTGCGGAAGCCAAAGTGGGTCAAGTTCCCACGCCACACACGGTTTGGGGCCCTTGGAAGTCACATAGAGTCTCTGTTTCCTCGGCTGGAAGATGGGACTCTTTTCCGTTGTAATGGGATCTTATGAGTTCAGACTAGCACAGTAAAATGTTTCTCAAATGTTGGTGGCTGAGGTCATTATTATTATTATTTGGGTATCCATTGCCCCCTATGGCAGTGCGGATTTAAGATGGTGAACGGTCTGAGTGAGATCGTATGATCGCTCCCCACCGGCACCTGATCCTGGGCGTGGTCCCCAAAACACTCCCCTGCCAGTAGAGCCCTGTCCCAAATTACTGGCGACTGGGAGAAAGATGGGAAGCCTGGTTTGTGTTCATAGCACCCCGCCTGGACCCTATCCCAGGAGAGGGTCTGCGGATGCTGGTGCCCACCTGAGCCCCGCTCCCCCATCCCTTGACCTTTCCTGTTGTCCCCAACCACAGTTCGTCCCCAGGGCTCTAGACCTGGGGTCATACCCATGCCCCATTAAGGACCCACCTTGAAGCTGTCCTCCGTCACAATGATAAGCACTTCGAATGGCTGCCCGCGCTGGAAGGGGATGCCAGCGCCCCGCTCCTCCCGGCCCCATTTGCCTTGCTCCTTGGTGTTGAAGACTACTTCGGATGTGTCCAGCCTTGGGTTAAAGTGCAGGGCGGCATCTGCCCCCTGCTCCTCACTGCACAGCAGGTTTACATGGAACCTGCGGAGGACAGGAGGCCTCAGGAACCAGCTACCACCATGGGCAGGTTCCTGGGTCATCTAAGTGTTTATGGGGTTCCTGGGCACACATCCACTCAAGCCGAGTCTGTGCTTATAGACTGAGTCCCCCATTTCCAAAATCAAGTCCTGTCTGATGCCCTATTCATTCAAATTCCTGGGAATCTTGAATTTCAATATGACTTGGGACAGTCCTATTTCCAGGGTACCCACACTTCCACAAAACCAGAAGACCCAGTTTCTGGAAGCCATGGATTGATGGGTAGGTCCCCCAGCGTCAAGGATGACTCAAGGGTTCCAGGAAGAGTCCCAGATTCCTAGAGACTTGGACATGGAGGTCCTAGCACTAACCAGGGACTCTGAAGTTGGCCTAGAACCTCAGATTATTAGGAAGATTTGGGACCTACCTATGAAGGCACTAGAAACATTGGTGTGTCCCTCAGAGTTCAGATAGTTAGGAACGGGGAACCCAAGACCCCAATGGGCAGAGAGGGCCTCACGGATCCCATGTCTGGGCTACAAGAAATGGACATCCTCTGATTCCAGAGATGCCCCACCCTTTCCCCTGGGACTTAGGATGTCACCTGCCAGCCTGGTCAGGGACAACGCCTCGAATTCTCATCACGTTGCCCACGCGGATGCCCTCAGGCAGCACAGTCTTGTGGGGGGTGGTCTGAAAGATTCGGGTGAGGCAGGATGTGAGTACCAGGGGGACAGGGAAAGAAATAGGTGGGTTAGCCCCAGCTAGGAACTTCAGGAACAAGATAGCAGAAAGCAGAAAAGAGAAAGAACTGGAGAGATGGCTTGGGGTTTAGGAGCATCTGCTGCTCTTCCAGAGAACCCAAGTTCAGGTCCCAGCATGCACGTTAGGCAAGACCCACTGCCTATAACTGCAGGTTCAAGGGATCCAATGCCCCCTTTATGGTCTCCATGGGCACCAGCACACATGTGGCACACACACACACACACACACACATACACACAAGTGAAAATTTTTTTGAAAGCAGAAAGACCCAGTAAGGTAGAAGCACAGACAGGCAGAGATAGGACAGAGAGACTACAAGAAACAGAAGGGAGACAGCCAGCGGGGAGACAAGCCATTGGGACATGCTGGTGAGACCCGAGAGTCAGGGTGGGTAAGGCCTAGCTCTCCCAATACCTGCTTTCGGCTTTGAAGGAGAGGCCTCAGCCAGGCCCAGCTGCCCCACCTGGCCCAGCCCTGTTCCTGGCCCCCAGCTCCATCCCTGAGCACTCACCGTCATGGCTGGTGGAACAAGATAGCAGCAGCAGCATGGCTGGAAGCTGTGGGGTGACCTTAAGTACAGGCAGGGTGGAGGCTCAGCCCCACCCCTTTCCACCCACCACACCTCTGCCTGGCACAGACCCCGGCCCTACGGCAAAGCTGTCAAGGCTGGGCAGGTCTTCTCCTGCCCGCCCCCACACTCACTAGGGGTGCAGCTGTCTGCCCCTCTGCTAGACCTGTACAGTACAGTCTTTAACACCAAGACGGGGGAGGCTTATCCTGCTGCCCCCTTCTGCCCTGCCTCCTATCTGGCACAGGACTCTGCTGGGTTCCTGGAGACCTGCTGGGTCCAGACAGGCCCAGCAAGCAAAAACTTCTGTCTCCTCTTTCCAGACTGAGCCCCAGCCCAGGAGCCCAGGCTGCTCAGCTCAGTCCACATCTACTTCTGCAGTTGGTTGCTACCATAATGATTCAATGGTAGCATTGTCCTCCCCACCCCCAATTATGCCTGCTTGTCCGGTGCTGGGTCCTGGGTCCCCAGTGTGTGTCTGGCATGTGGGAAGTGTCCAGTGACAAAGGGTGAAATGACACACTAAGCCACCCAGCTGAGGCTTCTGTGTATACAGATGTACTAGAATCCCCAAGCCACCAGGAGACCATGGAGGGCAGTCTGGCCACCACACTGACACACAGGAGACTGAAGTGGGTAGGAGCAATTTGCCCAACGATCAAACTGCCAGACCACAGGACCACCAACTGCTCCCACTGGCCCTGTGTCTTGAAGTACCTCTCTCGGTTGTTCTACTCAAACTGTCTTCCTCCTCAGCCTGAGCCTCCAGCTTCTCCCTGAACTGAACCCATCTTCTGACCCAATTTGGGGATGGGGTGAGACAGGGTATGGTTTGGGAGTGTCCCAACCCCCAATCACCACCCAGATCAAGAATGAGATAAAATCAGGACCCTGCTGCGAGTCCTAGTTTCAGCTCACTTGGGCCCAGGACTCTAGAGGAAAAATTGCAGAGTGGAGTTTCTGGAAGGTAGGTAAAGGGAGGGTGGGGGAACTCAACTATTCCTAGCAACCCAACAGCCCACCTAGAAGATAGTTCCCACCTCCACACCCCACACCCCTACTGCCCCACCCACCAGATGTCAGAGCCCTGGGGCAGTTGCATGCTGGGAGTGGAAAGTTGTGGTGGTGACTCCAGACTCAGAGGCTGCACCTTTCGCTCCCCTGTTCCAGTTCCCTCAGATTAGAACACACTCCAAGGATCCCACATTGAGGTCTAGCCTTGGGAGCAAGTTCTCAGAAAGAAAAAGAGGTGAGTGAGGTCCTGCAGTACTAGGTGGGCAGCAGGTGCCCCTTTGAAAAGAAAACAGACAAGCTGGGTGGGTCAGCTCACACCTGTAAATCAGCACTTGAGAGGCTGAGGCAGAAGAACCAGGAGTTCAAGTCATCCTTGGCTTCATATTGAGTTTGAAGGCAGCCTGGGCTACGACAGACTCTGTTTCAAAAAACAGTAAAAAGCTGGACGTGGTGGCACATGCCTGTAATCCCAGTACTCGGAGGCAGAGGCAGGTGGATCTCTATGAGTCCGAGGCTAGTCTGGTCTATAAAGTAAGTTCCAGGCCAGCCCAGTCCAGGTTATACAGTGAGACCCTGTTTCAAAAAGCAAAGGAAAACAAACAAACAGTAACAAAACTGAACAAACGAGCACTGGAGAGATGGTTCGGCAGTTAAGAGTGTTTGCTTCCAGCACCTATGCCAGGCTCACAACCACCTGTAACTCCAGCTCCAGGGGATCTGATGCTCTCTTCTGATTGTCCCAGGTACCCACACACACATGGCCTATATGCACATACATGTACATTCATTAAAAACAAATCTTGTCAGACATGGCAGCCCATGTGTTTAATCCTGGAACTCAAGAGGCAGAGGCAGGTAGATCTCTGAGGTTGAGGCCAGCCTGGTCTATATAGCAAGTTCCAGTTCAGTTGGGGCTACAGGGAGACTCTGTATCAATGAAGCGGGGGGAGGTACTGGAGAAATGGCTCAGCAGCTAAGAGCACTGACTGCTAACAACTGTCCTTAACTCCAGTTCCAGGATATCCAATGCCCTCTCTGGCCTCCACAGGCATTACATGACATGGGTACACTTACATACATACATACAAAACTCTCATACACATAAAATAAAATAAAAACAAAAAAATTAAACAAACATACAAGAGACAGGTTTAGAAAGAAGTGTCTTAGAGAGGGGCAGGAGAGATAGCTCAGCAGTTAAGAACACTGGCTGTTCTTGCAGAAGATCTGGGTTCGAATGCCAGCACCCACATGGCAGCTAACAACTGTCCATTACTCCAGTTCCAGGGGATCCGATGGCCACTTCTGAATTCCAAGGGTATTGCATGACACAGGTGGACTTATATGCATGTAGGCAATACACACATACCCATAAAATTAAAAAAATAAAATATTTTTTCATTAAGAGGCAGGATCTTTTTAAAAATATTTTATTTATTCTTTTTATTTTATGTGTATGAGTCTATTGCCTGCAAGTAGGTAAGTGCACCCATGTCGTGCAATGCCTGCGGAGGACAGAAGAGGCTTTCGGATCCCCTGGGACTGGAGTTATGCACAGTTGTTAGCTGCCATGTGGGTGCTGGGATTCGAACCCGGGTCTTCTGCAAGAACAGCCAGTGTTCTTAACCACTGAGCCATCTCTCTAGGCCCATAAAATATTTTTTAAAAAAGAAGTATCTTAGAGGTTTGAGAGATTGGCTTGGGGTTCTATCAGTTAAGGGTACATCCTAAGACTGACAAGGACATAGGTTTTCAGGTTACACCATCTTTCACCACAGTTAGGCATATAATCCAGCCTCCTAGTCTTCTAGAATCACACTCTGCATAAATCACCACCCTCACACTTGTCTGGGCCTAGTTCTGTTTGTTGCTAATGGTTCCCACGGGCTGGTTTCTCTCATTTCTTCATCGAGGATGGATATAAGTTCACATATAGCCTATCAGTCACACGTCTGCACTTGTCTTTGGTGACTGGCCAGATTTTGCAGTCAATCTGTTATCAGTTGTACATCTGCCTCATTTCTGGGAACTGAGCTAGGCGGAGCCCTTGATGGATTCTGTCTGTCTGTGCATGTGCCATATATATGCAGGTGCCCTCTGAGGCCAGAAGAGGACGTCAGATCCCTTAGACCTGGAAGTACAGGTGGTTGTGAGCTGCCTGCTATAGGTGCTGGGATCCAAACTTGGGTCCTCTAGAAAAACAGCAAGTGCTGGGCCATCTCTCCAGCCCCTTTCACTGATTCGTGCTTGTCTCTTTTGATGATCTTTATTGGAAGTGCTGAATACCATTTCCCTGATTATATCTGTTTCATCTCTAATTCATTAGTGAATGTATTTATTTCCTAGGACTCATTTTATTGAGATATGTGGATTAAATAAAGAGCAGGTTTTAACAAAATAGGTCAATGAGTTTGGGGTGTTTCATTATTTTGAGGTTTATTTATTTATTTGCGTGTCTGTTTGTTTTGAGACAGGGTCTCATTATGTAGCCCTGGCTGGCCTGGAATTTGCCATGTAGACCAGGCTAGCCTTGAACTCACAGATATCTGCCTGCCTCTCCCTCCTGAGTGCTGGGATTGAAGGTCTATGCCACCATACCTGATGAAGAGTTATTTATTTCATTTTTAATTAAGACTGTGTGTGTGTGTGTGTGTGTGTGTGTGTGTGTGTGTATGTTTATGTGTGTTTATGTGTACTCCACAGGGGCCAGAGGTATCAAATCCTCCTAGATCTGGAGTTACAGGCAATTGTGATCCACGTGACATGGTTGCTGGGAACCGAACTCGGGTCCTCCACAACAACAGTATGAGCTCTTAACCACTGAGCCATCTCTCCAGCCTAGGATGACCTTGAACTCCTGATTCTCCTGGCCTCCACCTCCCAAGTGCTAGGATTATAGGCATGTGCCACCACACTAGTCTATGCAGTGCTGGAGTTGAACCCAGGGCTTTGTGCATGCTAGGCAAGCACTCTACCAACTGAGCTATACCCCCAGCCCACTTGTGAGAACTTAAAACCCAAGGCTCCATCTATTAATGTTAAATTTTTTGATAACTTTTTGTATGCTGTAAAAATAATGAAGTGATAACATTTATGGTTAATGAAAATGATATATCTAAAAATCTGACCTGATATGAAGCCTTATGATCCTTTGCTTTTAAAAAAATATTTATTTTGGGGGCTGGAGAGATGGCTCAGCAGTTAAGAGCACTGACTGCTCTTGCAGAGGACCCAGGTTCAATTCCCAGCACCCACATGGTGGCTACGAACCGTCCTTAACTCCAGTTCCAGGGGAATCCAAAGCCTTTTTCTGACCTCCGTTGCATTGCATGACATGGGTGCACTCATATACATGCAGGTAACACATTCATACACATAAAATAAAAACAATAAGTACAATATTTTAAAATATATATTTATTTTTATTTATGTGTATGTGTGTGTACATGTATGCCATGTGTGTTCAAGTGCCCAAGGAGGTCAGAAGAGGGTCTTAGATCTCCTGGAGCTGGAGTTACAGGAGGTTGTGATATGGGTGCTAGGAACTGAACTCAGTTCCTCTGGAAGGATAGCAAATGCTCTTGACCACTAAGCCAGCTCTCCAGCCCCTCTTTTTATTATTTAATTAAAAATATTTATTTTTTTTAAATTTTATGTGTATGAGTATATTGCCTGCATGTATGTAAGCGTGCCCATGTCTTGTAGTACCTGAGGAGGTCAGAAGGTGTTGGATTCCCCTGGAACTGGAGTTTTGAATAGCTGTTTGCAGCCTTGTGGATGCTAGGATTTGAACCTGGGGTTTGAACCTGGGTCCTCTGGAAGGGCAGCCAGTGGTCTTAACCATTGAGCCATCTCTCCCACCCCCCCCCTTTTTTTTTTTGGTCTTTTTGAGACAGGGTCTGGAACTTGCTTCCAGCTGGCTTGGAACTTACTATGTAGACCAGACTGGTCTTGAACTCGCAGAGATCTGCCTGCC